TTGTCACTCCCTTTTTCCATGGTGCCGTTAAAATTATTCTTGTGTTGATAAATACAACTTGGCAAACTAGAAACTTACACCATTTTCGAATGTCTATCATTCCTAAACCGGAAGTACTTCCGTTCTCGCTTCATTACCTTGACCCCAGTCCTCCCGGAACCGAGCGGTCAAACATTTTGCGAGTAAATAATCTAAGAAACAAAGTTAAGAAAAAAGGAAAGTACGGAAGCTGCTATCAAAATAACCAAAAAAGGGCCTTAATGTTCCTATGATGAGGAATATACATGCATCATGCGTCATCGCTGTGATAAGGGAAATGCATTTTTAAAGCCAATTTTTATCTTTTAAAAATATAAATTCCAAATAATATTTATCAACATTACAAGGCCACATTAATACCCTTACTATTTATCAACATACATTCATCATGAAAACCAATCTATCCATTTACCTTTTATTGGTAAGTTTTTTTCGATGATTCAGGGATGAGTCTATAGTTATAGACTGCGAAGCACGTAAAAGGCACAGAGTGCATAATATCAAATACACGTCGTGTGTAACTAACTGTTTGACAGCCAATTGCTTTTCTCTTTTCGTTAGAGTTTAAAATGAAAGTGTCATAAACTTGACAAATGGATCTGTTTAATGACAAAGTGTTTGTCAAGCAAGGGATCGTACATGACTTTCCAGCTGGTTTCGAAAACGTGAAAAAGCTGTACCACGCTTCATTGTTAACTCACGATTTATTCACTTGATTTGATGATTTTACAACAACGCTTCGATTAACTCCCACTCACAACTCTCAGCTTATTCGAAAGAAACACACACAATGTCCCGCTGTAAGCACGTGCCAGAACAGTGCCATGTATGGGGCGATAAAACAGGTGCCGTATACATGTTGTTTGGTTATATATAGATTAACCGAAATCAAATCAAATTAAAGAATGCTTAACGTATCGTACAGTTTCCAACACTTAAGTTATTTTTTTGTATTTACAAATTTAAAGAATATAGGTTTTCCACTGTCCATCAGGCGCTCAAAGTTGTGCCGTTGCATCATTCCATCAAGCGCGTACTGCGTAGAATGGTAATGACGTCTTCTTGAGCCGCAGATTGAAGAGCATTCACATTTAGTTAATCTATTACATTTTAGTTATTAATCTCTATACGCATCGTATATTTAATTCTGCTCTTCAATTGTTTTTGGCTGACTTTCGCCTCCAATAGCCTCTTCATGAGGAGCCACGAGTGACTGAACTTTTCTCAGAAATTTTAGGAACGTCGGTAGCTTAGCAACGATCTGCTCTGGTTTCCAGTCTCCTTCATCAAAAGCGTCATCCCATTTTTTACAATACAGATGAATGTCCGTCTTTTTCACACAAAATCGAAAAAAAATAAATAAGAAAAAAATTAAAGCCCGTAAGACTTCCTTTGACTCAAAACAGATGACTAAAGGACTTAAAATGTGGGATAGTCAATCACTAACGAAACAATCAAGCTAACTGGTTTCAAAGCTGACGTTTTAGGCGTTGTCCTTTCGTCAGGGCTAACGAAGGGCTAACGCTTGAAACGTCAGCTTTGAAACTCTTAACGGTGGCCAATTAACGCTATCATCACAGTTGATGATGATACCAAATTGACTCTCTGAATGACTGATTGACGAATTGAGTGACTGACTGGCCAACTGGCTAACTAGCTTAATGTTTTGCTAGAGGAATGGCTAGTAGACTAGCTGGCGGACTGGCTAGCGGACTGACTGGCGGACTTGCTGGCGTATTGGCTGACTGATGAACTGATAGGGTTGACTAATTGACTGACTGACAAGCTGCCTGACGTATTGGTTGGCAGACCGTGATTGTCTGAGTAGCTGATTAACAGACTGACAGACTGACCGACTGACCAACTTTCAAATTAGCTGACCAGCGGACTGACTGGCCAAATCAGAGTTCTACAGTCGCTTTAATTTAGATATACTGAATGACTGTTCAGTATCAACTGCAGACGAGTGACATGGATCATAACACAAACAGCGGTGTATGACTAACATGGACGAAGAGAAAGCATAGCTTGATTGTAGTGATACGTACCCTTACTTCGGTTTCGTCCAAACTCCATACATCATTGTGATCAATATTTATGTCTTTAGCTTGCTCTTTACAAACAGTCAAGGCAAACTGTTCTTCATCCGTTGTTTCGTACTGGTATGTTCTTCTCCGACTGCGACGGCAGTAAAAAAGTTCAAATCCATCTGGAAGCTCGGAGGTTGGTGGTAACTTCAGTTTACTTTGATCAATCTTCATGTTCATCAAATAACTTTCAAGAATTCTGTCTTCTTCTTCAGCTTCTGGTGTCTGCGGAATATTTGGATCTTGACAAAAATAAAAAGACATACTTTTAACTGAGACAATGTGATGTTTACAATGTGATACTTAGTTCCTTCCGTTATTTTTTTTCAGTGTTACTCTCCGTAAAAACTAGTCCCTTACACAGTCGAGCGTTTTTGACTTCATGATTTTTCTTCTGAGGTTCAGAAGAATAAATCATGGAGTCAAAAACGCTACTCAGTGCTGTAAGCTCCATTCATTAATTATTTTTTTGGTCGGTAAAACTGATGGCAAATATCATCCAATATTTCGCTCTTCTTTCTTTTTTTCTACCTTTTTAAATGTCATTCGCAGTAAGTTTTCCATCCGCAATTAAAAAACTTATGAAATTAAAAGTTAATGCCGCTGAGAGCTGCGAGAAGCTGTTTATTACGTCTTTCTTGTCATAATTCACAGACTCACATGTTCTTATCGACAAACGGCAGTCAAATCCCTTGGAAGGCATCAAAATGTCTGCTATCATTCTTTGTTGAAAGTGAGAATAAATATGGAAGCATGGTTCGTTCGATGTTCTTCTGGTCTCGTCTTCGGTTAACACACGAGTTAAGATGTTTTTAACAGGAATAGAAGCATTGCGAGAGAACATTAGCGAAGGAGCTGTAGCACCCTCGTCCTCAGAATGTTCCTCCACCAGCCATGCCTGGCATAAAGAGAGAAACCAGAAAATTTGGGGAATTAAAAACTAATTCCAATCAGTCTTTATTCAGGGAAGTAGACAGGCTTCTCTAAAAACAAGTGACAGTTTTTCCGGTGTCTTAGTTCCTCAGCGATGGGAGACTTATTCCTTTAATTAAGAGGCTAGAATATAATTTAAGAGATTTTAACAACATACAGTTAACGTCCCTAATAAGGACAAACTGTCCGGATTCCTTAGAGACCATATCGTTTTCACTGAACCTTGCAGATATAAACGAGAATACCCCTCTTCATTTCCTATTTGGCGATACTCGAATGTGTTTGATCAGAAGTAAAAATTCTTTTTTCCAGAAAGGACAATCCAAGTCCAGCGTCAGATGATGAAGAGAATCCTACGATATATATGGATGTTCTTATCTATTCTATTTACAGATTTAAAATACCTCAACACCAATATCTCGGCAAGAAGGAGTGTAGAATGCAAAGTCATATCTGATATCTTCAGTTGATGTGAAAGATTCAAGGTCCTTCTCAATTGCCTCAACTTCCATTCTCAAGACGCCTTCCTTGAAGATTGGCTTCCAGCTATTGCCATCCGCAGATTCAACTTTTTCTTGGATCTCCTTCAGGGTAAAAGTGTCTTCCTCTTCATCTGCAGCAACAGAAAAACCAAAGAAATAAAATCTTAGATTGACACCTCCACATTCCACTTTAATGCGAGTTACAGAACCAGGCGTTTTCGTTAATCTTCTAATCCGATTTAAGATACTTCATCAGAGATTTTTCGATCAATTCATATGCTCCTTGTCCCTCTGCGGTGTTGTCCCCCCCTTTCCCCATTTCTCACCTTCATCAATCTTAGTTATATAGGCGTGACCGAAACGACTCTTCATTTCTATCTTAACCTTGCCCCCTTCCACCTCCTCTTTGTGAATTTGTTTTAAAACTCCACGGATCTTTTCTTTCAGACTTTCCGTGTTAGCAAAATCATCTGTTTCCTGTTAAGAAACAAGATGATTGTATTAATGTCTTTTGTAATAATTGTTGGATGTTGCTTGTTTTATTGCTTGGGAGGTTCATTTTTGTTTAGACGTTCTTGTCGATTCCCCTCAGTTTAAAAGTCGTTGTGTGCTATGACTTCATTAAAAAATCAAGCTTTCCGAAGTTATGAGCAAGCAATATGTCATTTCTCCAAATAAAAGAAACGACTTTAAACGAACGGCTGGGTCGACTTTCGGCGAGGAGGCTCGGAAGATTCCATCATAAGCCTGGTTTCTAGAAATGTCATGACAAAGGCGGGACAAAATGTGTTGAGAGCAAATACAGAAATGGAGAATTTCTGTAGTTATTGTCTTGTTCTAGGGCTATAGTTCTTTTTCATGTGGAGGTTTACAGCGAACACGTAGGAGGGCTTGCAACATGATAGGTCGAAACCTTCAGTTACCTACTCATCGTATGAAATTAGTAATGTTTATATGTAGTGAATGATGTAGTCTAAACTGTGGCTAAAATTGAATGATTGATTTTCTAAGCAGTAACATTCACAATATGTTTGTATGCATGGATCATTTTCTTTATTTAAGGTTAGCTTAGGGTTAGACAGTCGTTTTTTATACTAGATCAGCGAAAAGTCGGGCAGACCTTTCCTAGAGGATGTCCCAGTAGCTTTAGTTGGAAGGACTTATCTCCAGAGTCGGTGACTTGATCTGATTGTAGCTTCGAATTCTGCAGCTCAAACTCGTGGTTTTCTTTCAGCTGAGCAGTGTCCACGAAAACAAACCTTGCCGAAGGTTCAGTACTCTCTGAACGTTTCATTGCAAGATTCTTAAATGAAAAAAAAAATCGTTAATTGCTAATGGAGCATCACAACAGATCTACGTCCAATACTAAGAGCCTCTGGCTCGGAAGACTGTGCAAACACCTCCCACGTCTTCGACATTCAATAAAGCCACTGAATCCCTAATTTCCTATCGAGAGCCTTCTTGGGCTTACTCTCGTTTTTGGAAATCCCAGAGTGTGATGTCATGTCGCGAAGGTAACCCACGCTGAAATCCTCACTCGTTCTTCACCAAGACATTCAGGTAGCACGAGAGGTGAGCATACCTTAATTTTTAAGATAATTTGAAGAGGGATTACCGTTGTTACGAGGCCTTAAAATGTCTCTCTTAAAAGTGGGAGTCTCATTTGTATTCTAATACACTTATGTAAATTAGCCTACAGGGCCTTGACAGCACGTAGAAAACAACGATAGAATTTTCTCCCCTAAGGGGAGGTTAAGATTATGTTCTGACCCTTTTTTTACTTGCGCACAAAAGACTGATAATTATGCCTGCAATTTTAAGAGAGGTCTTCCAGGTGGATTTGGATCCTTTGTCGTAAAACCAAAATTAACATAGTCGCAACAGCCAATCAGAAGAAAGAATGATGACACAGGGACACCAATACACACTTACCACGATGGCCTTTATTTCTCTTATTGCTTTTTTTTCGCCCTCTCTTGGTCCTTTGAAGTACAGGCCAGGGCTGCTCCTGAAGGCTTTTAGAGTTACACCAGTCTTAGTTGAGATATTGTTCAACTTCTCATGTCCTTTCCCAATGACAACACCCATGAATTTGTCAGGTATGTCAACGTTGAGCTTCTTGAACCCGCCTTTTTCGTTGTCTTGAGTACCCTACGGATCCGAACAAATATATAAACGTGTCTAGACTTGAAAAAAACCTAGGGAGAGAGAATACACGCAAGCTTTGAAGTTCTTGAGAATTTATATGTATAATTTGTGTAATAGTGATATTTGAATGTTGGGTAGCTGATGAAATTAAGGGAAGTTCAATGGTGGATCTGGAGAGTATAAAAGCAGCAGGCTGAGGAAAACTTGCCGTAAGATAGCCACCTCATTCATACCAATATTACATTTATATTAAATAAAAATACCTGCTTTCAAAGCAGTAAAAATCCAAGTGCCGAAAAAAGAGGGGCTCTGTGAGAATTTTACAGTCAAACCTCTCGACGTAGGTATCGATCTTTTTTTGTGGGTGATTTGCAACCCTCTTGGTTCTTTGATAAAAGTTTGTTTCTTAATTCGAAAACAAAAACATCCAATGTACAGTATCTAGAACAGTCAAGCGATTTGATAGTTCAATGGACACTGAGTTAGATACAGACACTCGGCCTCCTTTCACCCACCAGCTCTTACCGTCACGATTTCTTTTATTATCTTTTCTGCATTTTCACATTGTTCTGCAGTGGAAAATTTGAGGAGTTACGTCTATATAAATAGTTCCACTTCCTTTAGTAGCCACTTACCAATTTCTCATTGATTAGGTCTCTTGCACGGGCCCTTTGCCTCTCATTACCACGAATAGCGAATCCGTTGCGACCTCTTTGTGACTGAGCACTGATCTTTGCCCCTGACGTTTCTTGTATTTGATTTATTGTACTTCCTTTCCTGCCGATTATGAAGCCAATGCGGTTTTCAGCTACTGGTAGAAATTCGTAGCCTTCCTCCTGAGTGCTCCTTTTAAGATCGTCATTTATATTTCTGTTCAGAACAGCCCTTATGGAAAAATGTTTTTATCCTCATGTCATTTACTAATACCCCTCTAAAAATAATGACCTTATAAGATTAACATAATCAATGAAAGAAACAACAAATCATTCTCGAAATTACAAAATAAAGTCTGGAAACGTTCAGGCTTCAATGGGCTCAACTCCGAGCCTCCCTCTGAAGCCCCCCTTAGTGTTTGGCACTCTCTCCCAACTTCACTCAATATATTTACATAATAAGGTGGGGAGCTTGCCAATCACGTAGGAATTACAAGGAAATGCAAAAACCAGCCACATAGATGCGGCATTTGAAAAATTTGTATAAATATGCAATTTAAACTTTGTTGCCGACACAACAAAACGTTACGCTGAGATACATTGAAGTAATCTGTCATTAATCATTCATTTATCCCTCTCCAGGGATTGGTCACGAACGACAAACCAAATGAATCGAAAATAAGAGTAAACAGAAATTTAAATAGGAATAACAGGTGCCTCACAGTGGCGGCCTCACAAGAGAGACAATGAGACAATGTGAGGTTTATTTATCATTATGCGACAATGTTAGACAGATGCCGATACTTCGTTCCTTCCGAAATCGAAAATAAGAGTAAACAGAAATTTAAATGGGAATAACAGGCGCCTCACAGCGGCGCCCTCACAAGGTAATTTGGGAAAAATAATGTTTCTCGCTTGATGTGAGGGTTGACGAGATCTCTGTGAATGAAAATTCCTCTGACGAGGAACTAGTCGTGAATATTAATATCGGTGTGACTAAATGCCTGGCAGCCGGGAACGTTCTCAAAAAAACTAAATGCCTGGCTGTCAAAAATTTTCACGCAACTCCCACCGAAAGGTTCCTTCAAACTTCTTAAGAGTATTAGATGTTTGTTAAGAAATGTCAAGCGATTACAAAAATTAATTTAGTTTTCCGTGGACAAATTCTCAGAGTTTGTTTATATCGCTCGACAACCGAGCGATATCATAGTGTGCACAAGCTCTGAGAATTTGTCCACTTAATAACCAAATAAATTTTTGGAATTGCTTGACATTCCTTAACAGACATTTGATTTTCTTAAGAAGTTTGAAAGAACCTTCCGGCGGAAATTGCGTGAAAATTTTTGACTGGCGGGCACTCAGTCTATTAGAGACCGTGCCTGGCTGCCGGGCATTTAATTACACCGTATAAATACTCCTTGCCCATTTAAACCGTCAGTTCGAAATTCATTTGTTTTACCTCGCTTTGCTGCCATTCGTCGATTCCTTGCGACTTTCACTCCTTTTGTCCATGGTGCTATTAAAATTATTCTTTTACTGACAAATAAAACTTAGCAAAGTAGAAACTTATACCAATATCGATGTCTATCATTCCTAAACCGGAAGTACTTTCGCTTTCGCTTCATTATCTAGACCCCAGTCCTCCCGCACAGAACGGTTAAACATTATGCGAGCAAATGATTTAAAAAGGAAAGTTAAGAAAAAGGAAAGTACAATGGCTGCTACCAAAATAACAAAAAAGGGCCTAAATGTTCCCATGTTGAGGAATATACATGCATCGTGCGTCATCACCGAGATAAGGTAAATGCATTCCTAGAGCCAATTTTTGTCTTTCAGTATTTCAAATTCAAAGTAACATTTATCAACACTAACTGGCCACATTAATACCCACATTATCACCATACAGTCATCAAGGAAACCAATCTTTAGAGTATCCATTTACCTTTTAGTGGCGAGTTTTTTTTCGATGATTCAGTTCTGAATTTGTTCTCGAAGTTATAGCTTGCAAAGCGCGTAAAAGGCACGGAGTGCATAATATCAAATACACGTAAGAACTCACTGTTTGACGGCCAATTATTTTTCTCTTTTCGCTAGGGTTTAAAATGAAAGTGTCATAAACTTGACAAATGGATCGGTTTAATGATAAAGTGTTTTTTAAGCAAGGGATCGTACATGACTTTACTGCTGGTTCTTCAGTGTAATGTCCGTATTATTATCACCACTAAACTAATGGACGTATAAAGGAAAAACAATTATAACAACATGGACAATGAACAATACAATGTTGACTTAAAGTTTGAATAATTATTCTTGAATAAAACGATGAAAGACACATCTGTGTGTACATTATGGTCACAGCCAATAGTTTTTCGCAAATGCGAAATGTGTAACAGGTACATTAATTAAAAAAAGAACTTGTAATTCTTGTAAGCAATTGATTTTAAATTGTACAAACGCTTCCAAAAAGATTGTTCTCATTTATATGAGGATTAATGACAAACTCTACTTTAAACTAAAATTATTAAAAATCAAACCCTGAAAGTTTTAGCACAACCCAGGTGTGGCCAGATGGGGATAAATTTTTTACAAAACTTCCAACAGCTTTTTTAATCAAGCAGTTTTAATAAAAATCAAGTAACCCTGGATGAAAAGCTGCTCACGCGAAAAAAAAAAAAGCTGCTCACGCGAAAGTTGGTCGTAAGGAGCCGACAATACTTCTGATGTAGGTTTTTATCATATGCTGTTTTTTTGGTTTTTTGTTCTTTATGCTGTTCATTGTATTTAGTTTTCAACAGGGCCGTTATACAAACCACGTCAGGGTGGCACACACCTTGTATAAACTCTTTCTCAAAACATCAAGCTTCGATGGTGCAATTAAATGCAGTTAAGATTTTCACATTCTAAAATAGGATGTGTACATTCACTAAAATCAAATTAGAAACGGCGACGCAGGTACTACAGGAAAGATAAACAAAGTTTCTTTCTCAAGATCAGTCGTGTGACTAGATGACCTCTCTCATCACTGTAAATGCTCTCTCCTAAAAAAGCATAGCCTTTCTTGCTATTAATTTCAGTTATTTTTTTTGTATTTACAAATTTAAAGAAAATGAGTTTTCCACCGTCCATCAGGCGCCCAAAGTTGCGCTGTTGCATCCTTGCACCAAGCGCGTGCTGCGCAGGATAGTAATGACGTCTTCTTAGTTAAGCCGTGGATTGAACAGCATTCACATTAATCTATCACATTTTAGTTATTGATCTCTATGCGTATCATAGATTTAGTCCTGCTCTTCAGTTGCTTTTGCTAAAATTCGTCTCTAATAGCCTCTTCATGTGGGGCCACGTGTGACTGAACTTGTCTCAGAAATTTTAGGAACGTCGGTAGCTTGGCAACGATCTGCTCCGGTTCCCAGTCTCCTTCATCAAAAGCGTCATCCCATTCCTTACAATGCAGATGAATGTCCGTCTTTTTCATAAGAAATCGAAACAAAATTAAACAATAAGAAAAAAAACTAAAACCCGTAAGACTTCTTTTGACTCAAAACAGATGACCAAAGAAATTAAAATGTAGGATAGTCAATCGCTAACGAAACAACTCACTTGACAGCTAACTGGTTTCAAAGCCGACATTTAAGCTTAAGCCTTTCGTCAGGGCTAACGCTCGAAACGTCAGCTTTGAAACTCTTAACGGTGGACAATCAACATTATAAGCTTAGTTGATGATGATACCAAATTGACTGTCTGAATGACTGACTGACTGACTGAAAAACTGGCCGACTTGCTGAATGTTTTGCTGGCGGACTGGCTGGCGGAATGGTTGGCGGACTGGCAAGCGGACTGGCTTGCTGACTGAGTGATAAGGCTGACTAATTGACTAACTGACAAGCTGCCTGACTTATTGGCTGGCAGACCGTGATTATCTGAGTAGCTGATTAATAGACTGACTAACTGACCGACTGGCCAACCTTCGAATTAGCTGACCAGCGGACTGGCTGATGGGTTAACTGGAACAGCTACTGTTTCACATCGTAGCGATACGTACCTTTACTTCTGTTTCGTCGAAGCTCCATACATCACTGTGATCAATATTTACGTCTTTAGCTTGGTCTTTACAAACAGTCAAAGAAAACTGTTCTCCATCCGTTGTTTTGCACTGGTATGTTCTTCTCAGACTGCGACGGTGGTAGAAAAGTTCAAATCCACCTGGAAGCTCGGAGCTTGGTGGTAACTTCAGTTGCCCTTGATCAATCTTCATGTTAATCAAGTAACTTTCAAGAATTCTGTCTTCTTCTTCAGCTTCTGGTGTTTGCGGAATATTTGGACCTAAACAAAAATACAAAGACACAGTTTTAACTGAGACAATGTGAGGTTTATTTATCATTATGCGACAATGTTAGACAGAAGCCTATACTTAGTTCTTCCCGTTATTTTTTGACAATGTTACTCTCCGTGAAAACTAGTCCCTTACAGAGTCGAGCGTTTTTTCATGGAGTCAAAAACGCTACTCAGTGCTGTAAGCTGCTTTCATCAATTATTTTTCGGTCGGTGAAACTAATGGCAAATATCATCCAATATTTCGCTCTTTTTGCTTTTATTCTTCCCTATTTAATGTCATTTGCGGTAAGTTTTCCATTCGCAATTAAAAAACTCATGAAATTAAAAGTTAATGCCGCTGAGAGCTGTGAGAAGCTGTTTATTACGTCTTTTTTGTCATACTTCACAGACTCACATGTTCTAATCGACAAACGGCAGTCAAATCCCTTGGAAGGTATCATGATGTCTGCTCTCATTCTTTGTTGAAACTGAGAGCACATATGAAAGCATGGTTCGTTCGATGTACTTCCGCTCTGGTCTTCGGATGACACACGAGTCAAGACGTTTTTGACAGGAATAGGAGCACTGCGAGAGAACATAAGCGAAGGAGCTGTAGCACCCTCGTCCTCAGAATGTTCCTCCACCAGCCATGCCTGGAATAAAGAGAGAAGAAACAAAATTTGGTGAATTGAAAACTAATCCAATCAGTCTTTATTTAGGGAAGTACACAGGCTTCTCTAAAACAAGTGACAGTTTTTCGGTGTCTCAGTTCCTCAGCTACGGGAGACTTATTCCTTTAATTAAGAGGCTAGAATATAACTTAAGAGATTTTAACAACATATATTTCACGTCCCTAAAAA